ATGTTCTTGTCTTGTGTTGCAGGCTCGCTCTGCAGAGCCACAGGCAGAAGTGGAGGAGAAGAAGGGCCCTCAGTTCATCGTGTAAGTCTTCTTTCCGTTGCTGTCTTTGTCAGAGTAAAGCCAGACTGAGGCTATTTGCTTATTTCCACCCCTCTGTCCTGCACTTTAACAGGCTAGCACATCATCACCAGGCAGTCCAGTTCAGACGCACACAGATCCGAGGCAGCGACAGCTCCGATGACGACGAGGACGATGTGGATGACATTGAGTGGGGTCCTGCGACAGAACTTTAGAGCCCAGTGAGGATTAAAGCTGGACTCAACCGATCTAACACGGACATGGAAACTATTTCACTCCTCTAAGAAACTCTCTTGGATCATTTTGTACATGTGTTTGTGCAGAACCAGAGTTTTGTCTGAAGATGGTCAGGCTACACTGACGGCCGCGCCCAGGAGTGGATGTTGGAGATTTCGACAACCTTTAACAGATTACTGAAACACCTACAGCAAAGGTTCTCACGTGAATGTTAAGATCGAAGTGCCTGATTTCTTTTCATTTTTTTACTTAAATGTCAAATAAATCAGTTTGCCCTTTGCTACTGTATGTAACATGTAAACACATAGTTTTATCAGAAATTATACTAAGTGAGTCAAAAGCATTTATGATATGTTTGGATGCCTCTTTAACTTTTTCTACATTAAACTGTTTTCCTGATTTCAGCAGTGGGTTTGTTCAGTCGTACTAAGATGGCAGAACTCAGTAAACGTCTTTTACATTTCTCTCAGGATTTCCCTACGTTAAAACAACCCTGATCAATGATGATCACTAGTATCAGCTACTCATGTGAAAATGACTTGGACAAACAACAATTGGACGATGAAACTGTAAAGCAAGCTGTGACACACTGTACCTGATATTACACTCCCCACTGAGACTGGAGAACTAACTGGGCGAAGAGGGCCATCACTACGGACCCTCAGGGGCCCCAAAGGCAACAGGTTCATTTTGTTGCATTTATTTTTTGGTGTATTTGATGACCTGCACATTTGTTGGTTAAGAGATACCACTAACGCACAATATAAACAAATATGTAAGGTGGCTACTGCATTTTTCCTGCTCTTGTGTCGTGTCTTGTCACATGCTGCGTATTCTTTAATATACTGGCATGTAATCCAGTTATTACAAACTCACATGGGGCCACAACTCATTGAACTACAGCTACAGGGGAAGAAATCTAGATTGGTTAATTAAAACTACTTAGAAAAAGCTGGAGCCTATCCCAGCTGACATTGGGCGAGAGGCAGGGTACACCCTGGACAGGTCACCAGACTATCACAGGGCTGACACATAGAGACAGACAACCATTCACACTCACATTCACACCTACGGACAATTTAGAGTCACCAATTAACCTGCATGTCTTTGGACTGTGGGAGGAAGCTGGAGTACCTGGAGAAAACCCACGCTGATACAGGGAGAACATGCAAAGTCTGCACAGAAGGGCACCCCCACCCTGGGGTTAGAGCCCTCCACCCCAGGTTCAAACCAGGAACCCTCTTGCTGTGAGGCGACAGTGCTAACCACTGCACCACTGTGCTGCATAAACCAAAAGATTAAATTACCCCACTATCAATGGGAAACTGCAGGAAGGTCTGTTTAAGTTTTGCACGTCCATCAGTCAGACACCATCCTTCAGAAACCTGAGTCCAGGTGGGGCGGTTGCATTAAGCAAGATTATTCAGTCAGCCAGGTAACTTTGTAAATAGCATGCAACAACTTCTCTAATAAATAGCAATAATAAAATGTCGGACTAATTGTAGTCAAAGGAGGTTCAATAGAGAAGCTATGGTGACATAAAAATATAAAATCATTCCTTTACTTTTGTAAACTACAAATTGTTTCAAGTTTAAGCACGCAAAAAAATGGCAAAAAAGTAATATAGCTATTTGATGCAACTATGCAAATATGAATTTAGTTGAACTACTGGTAAGCTACTGGAAAATGTAGTTGAACTACTTGTTTTACTGGGTGACCAGAAGCTCACCTGGAAGAGTGGGTGCCTGATGTACAGTATAAAGGCTGTGTCCTTGCTGTGGCGGCTTGCAGGTTCGATTTTAAACCATGGAACATTGCTGCATATCATCCCCTGTGTTTCATGCTGAAACTATCCTATCAAATAAAGTAAAAAAAAATCATCTTAAAAAAAGTAAAGGTTTTATATGTAGTTTGCTACTCTCCAACTGTGCTTGCCAGTTCATCTGCCCCCTCCTCTACATTCACACTCCACAACTGTCACATTAAAACATTTAATCTTTCATGTCCAGCATTCAGGTTTCATTCCTCCCTCTGGTGGTCAGAGTGCACAGAGGAGATAAATATACAAACACCAGACTGAGGTGGCAGGTCACATTTTAAAGGCAGTAAAGATTCATAAAAAATCTGTATTGATTTTGTAGTTTTGAGTCCACTCAACATATGGCAAGATCAAAACTGTTGAATACTTGCTGTTGAATTATATCCAATAAATTCATGTATTATGAATGTCCCCCTTTAAGTATTCAGTTGCTCTAAGATTCACATCTTTATGGCTTTTTTTGCTTCCATAAAACCAGTGGTAACTGTAACTAAGTAAATGTATTCAACTCAACAACTGTAGTTAAGTACAACTTCAAGGCACTGAAACTTAACTTGAGTATCTGCATGTTGTACGACTTTCTGTTTCTACTCCACTGCAGTTCAGAAGCACATATTGTACTTTTTAATGATATATAAATTATGATGCATTAAGTTTCCCAGCAGGATAAAGTAATTAAAATGAGCTCCACCTTTACCTGCTGCAACATTAAAGTGATGAACACATGAATGCATCAGTAACTATAATCCAGTGATATAATATAATATACATGATTCTGCACAAGGAATACTTTTACTTCTTGTTACTTCTGATACTTTTGTATTTTTATTTAAGTAAGAGTTTGAATGTCAGACTTCTACTTGTAGCTGTGTATTTTTACTCTGTAATATTGCTTATACTCAATACTTATACTCAGGTATCTGAATACTTCTTCCGCCACCGCATAGAAGGCACATAAAAACAGGGATGTGCAGAAGGGGAGCCCGAGGGTGCTCCTGCCCTTTCCCCCCTTGATGTCCAAAGTGCCTTTTTGTCAAGGCGTATTTTAGATTTTGTTTTGTTTGCTTGTGAAGGCCTGCACATGGCCCTTATCAAGAAGAATGTTTAACAATTATCAATAAATCTAGTTATAAATAAAATGAGAGTCAAGCCAGCTGGCGCTTGGATTTTGATGCTTGGCTATTCTTGGTGTTACAGTATGGGTGTTTTGAGCTGCTGAAAAGGTCTAAGAAAGACCCATATTTCAGGAATGATTTCTCAAATTTTATATACCAAGTAAAACAACAGTATTTAGCACATTATATGAAATCCAATTAGAAGTTATTGTACTGCTTTTTTTTATTTAAAAAAGGAGCTCCAAAATCAGCTCAAATTACATTAGTACACATTCATAATTTCCTCATATCTGAACCGTCACTTAAAAAAAATCCATAATAGGTTACATGAAAGTCAGGATGCAAGGATGACCCTGACTATCCATGTCAAAATTCACGTGATTTTACTGTACAGTTTTATGGATTTAAAAAAAATAAAATAAATATTTGTATATATATGTTTTTATATTATATTCTTATTACAGTGTTTAACATAAAGACATCAACACAGTGGCCACAAGAACCAAACATCTGACCCAGCTTTCCCAGACAAATTGTCTAAAGCACTCAATATATTGAATATATCTTTATAAGTGAAAGGAAAATAAATACATAGGGCCTATTAAAAGAAAAAGCATGACAGGATAACAACATATAACAGTTTACAACTAAGTAGAAGATGGGCATGAAACAAGAACAAAACAGGACACATGGATCAGTAGAGGAAAGTAGGTCAATAAATAAATTAGTCATAATAATAAAATACCCAAAAATCATCCAAAAATATCACTGCCAATTTCCAATACTGCAGTACGCTGTGTTAGTTTCTGTTTAAATATGTGCTGCTATAATTCAGCAGGTTATGCTGTAAATAAAGTGCATGGTCTGTTAAATATTGTTTTTACCTTTGCGCACCTGCCCCCTCTAAAAGTCTCCGTATAAACATACAGGTGTGTGTGTGGTGTCTCCTCTTATCTGAATATGTGTGGAGCAGGTGCACCGTGGATGTATTGAGGTGCACGCGGAGGCGGAAGGTTACCATGAAAAGCTTCAGGTCACACGTTGGATACACACGTGTGTCAGGATGAGCTGATTACTGTGAGTCTGGACAAAGCAGCACTTGTGTGTGTGTGTGTGGTGTGCGTCAGGACGCAGCTCTCCTGTGAAGTCAGTGTGGAGTTATGAGAAAGTTTAAGGTGTATGTTACAGTTTCATGAGAGCAGCTGAAGCCAAGAGTTAGCGAAAAGTCGTTGTTAGTGTCCCTCCTCCTCCTCCTCCTCCTCCTTCTCTTGGTGAGGAAACTGCGCGCAGAGCGGATGCCGGGAGCGCACAGACAGTTTGCGGTGAGCTGTCTGTCTCTCCGTCAGTGAGCCTGCGCGGCTCGATGTGCGACAGCAGCAGCAGGAGGAAGACAGACAGACAGTTCCCGTGGCTGAAGGTCGGCCCGAATGGCACCGAGCTCCCGCTGAAGGCGCGCGGCACAGCACCCAAGTGGCGAGTCGGGGGGTGGGTGGGGGGGCTGTACGTGAAACTCAAAGAAGTCGGGATGGACGGCAAAGGCACGCTCAAGATGTTCACCAGGAAGAAACGGGAACTCATCAAAACGCCATCCATCTCGAAGAAGAGCCGAGCAGGAAGCCCCGGGCCGCAGAGCAGCGCCCCGTCTGTGAGTAGCGCATCACTTCTGGTTTCTGAGAGTGTGTGTGAGTGTGTGTGTGTCAGATGACCTTCAGCTGGAGGGGACAGGCTACACAGAGGGCTCCGGACAACAGGGAATTGTATGTGTGTGTGTGTGTGTGTGTGCGCGCGCGCGCATGTGTTTAGAGCCTATAACAGGTTGTGTGTGCCATTAATGTGACTGGTAAGATAAGAAACTGTGTGAACCTGCTGTTCTTCATGATTCAGTGTTTTCATGTTCAGATGTGTGTGTGACTGCACACTGACTCATCCAGCTCGTAGGAAGTGTGTCTTTAGTGAGGTTTCAGCACTGAAGCAGTGTCAGGCTGCAGTGTGTGTGTGTGTGTGTGTGTGAAAAGTCTGTGTGTGAGGCCAGTTTCAAAAGTTGACTTGGTTAGAATGGGGACGGGGCTGTAAGTGGGAAGGAGCATGCTGAAACGTAGTGGCAAAAGCAGCTACAATCCTTACTCGACCAGTCAGAGAGTTAAGAAAGCTGAGTCGAAGGGCAAGGACAGACTGGACATACTGCCCAACAAGCACAGCGTGTGGCTGAAGCAGGTAGGTTGGTGTACGCAGCTTATGTCCAACACAGATGTACAGGGATGCTTTGTGTTTCTTGTGAAATGTTTGCACGTCTGAGTGGAGCTCCTTGTGCACTTGTCAAAGCCTAAACTTCAACCTGTGCGAGTCGACCACACATGGGAGACTCGATTCTCAAAGCACGCCAGAAAAACAGCTTTCCCGTGACTTTTAACTTCTGTTTTGTCGACAGACGAGAAGGTCATTTCTCTGCAAAATATCACTGTTCTTATTCCAAACACCAAATGACATTTCGGTGTTTCTACCCCTCGGCTCTGTTTGCCACACCCGACAGCAGCTTGGAGTCAGGAAGTTGTTGCACAACGCAACACAGGATCTTGTGAAAGTCTTCACATGTGTGTTTACCAACAACAGCGCTGTTGCTTCTGTGTTTCAAGGCCACTAATCGCAAAGAGGAGTCGGCGCCCTCATGCTGTTCAGGTCAAGCTAGAATCAGGTGATCATCTTGACCTTTTTCCTGAGTAGGGGTGTGAATCGAGAACCGGTTCGATACGTCTAATCGTGTGCCTCTTTTATCAATGTTTTTCTAACAGCTGTGCGTTGCAAAACAGTGACATCAAAGTCGTGCGTTACACAGCTGGAAACTTCCAACATGAAGGAGTCATGGCGAGGACGAAATGGTCTTGGCGTGGCTTCATGTCATGAAGGAAGATGCAGCTTGTAATGTCTGTAAAATGAGCATTTTAAGTGAGAGTGGCAATATTTTGAAACGCAAAATAGGCTTAAACTCCAGGTGTGTCATGTATTTGACACCCTACACACAAGCTTCTCCGCAACTGAGCAGCACGTCGATTACTGAGGGGAAAGTTTCCAGTGTTTTAATGACTTTAGCACCACCCAGACAGGCTCAGCAGATTTCTAATTTGACTAAGAAAACCTGAATGAAAATGAAAGCTGTACAAATATTGTCTCATTTTATCCACTCAGAAGACGATAGACTGTTTCTACATTGTGTTCGGACTCAAGTAGTAAAACAGGTGATGCTGTAAACTCGTGTAGGCCCACTTCTTTTACACACAGAAGATTGATCACAAACCCAAAAATGGAGTCAGACCAATAAGCAGAATCAATAATGGCACTGGTGTCACTAAAATCACTCTCTATCCCCGTCTCTCTCAGCTGTCCATTCTCCAGGAGCAGCCTCGGAAAGATGCAGGCGACACCACCCTCTCCTCTTCATCCTCACCCTCGTCCTCCTCTTCAACTCTCACCCCGTCCTCCGCCGGGTTTCAGGACCCCTCCCTGTCCTGCCCGAGCACCCCCAGCACCCAGCATGGAAAGCTGGGGGTGATGCAAGGGGTGGGCTGCCCGTCGCCTGTGTCCACCCTGAAGAGGCCGACGGCGCTGAGCAGACACGCCAGCGCTGCAGGTCAGTTTGAAGCATCCATCGTTACTTTGTCGAGTTAATGAAACATACTTCACATCCACACCTGAGCTGAAACAGAAAGTGAAATCTAGAGGAAGGCGCCACATGTACAGAGCACACAATATCTTAACTATACACCATCTACCTGCCTGAAATTTAACAAGCAGATGAATCCAGAACAAATAATTTCTATTTTCCCTTCAAAGGTTTTTGGTTTTTTGAATAGAACAGTCACAGTACAGGGGAGAGAATGTTTTTTTTTTTTTTTTTTTTTTTTTATGAACAGCAGTTATCCACATCAAAACACATCCATCTTCCCAAACAACAGCAAACACACAGACAAACACAGCTCACCACGGGAGACACGGCCTGATCTAAATCATGGCTGCGTAAAATTTTAATTATAGACAACAATGTAGGGAAAATTTGTAAAAAAAAAAAAAAAGTCAAGAAAAAACATTTCAAGGAATAAGAAAAATTAAAAAAATAATATAATCTTTTTTTTAAATAATAATATTAATAAAAATAATAAATTAATTTGGGGAGAAATAGATAGAAAAAAATGTTTCATTATTACTTTTTAAATTCACTTCAGCATGAATGAAAAGTCAGAGTGTTAAGGTGAATTTTGAGGCCTTTAGCTATAAAAAGTTTGCAGACCCGGGGTCACAGTTTTCATTTCCAGTTGATTAGTGGTTTAGTCTTTTTTAATACATGATTTAGTCTCCAAAATGTCAACACAAAAGGTGGCAAATGCCCATCACAATGTCCCAGAGACAAAGGTCACCTTCTTAAATTGGTTGATTTGCTCGACCAATGCTCTAAAATTCAAACATTATTAATTTCCAAAAAATAAACAATGAACAGCAGCAAAACCTCACATTTAAAGGAATAGATTGACAGTTTGGAAAATACACTCAATCAAGTTTTAGCAAAGTTATATAAGAAGATTGATGCAACTCTCATGTCTGTTAGCATCTGGTTAGCTTAGCTTAGCATAAAGACTGGAGACAGGGGAAAACAATTAGCCTGGCTCTGTCCAAAGGCAACAAAATCCACCAACCAATCCTCTGACTAACATATTACATCTGGTTTCTTTAAAAAAAATGAAGTGTAAATTAGCAGTTATGTGCTGGACTATTTCTTGCACAGACTTCAGGAAGTTGCTGCATAAAACTGCAACATGTCACGTTTACACTTTGTTTTTTGTACAAGTGTTAATCAAGGAGATTAAGATTGAGTGGGTTGAATTGTTGGAGGAAAACTTCACCCACAAAATGACTGATAAACAAAATTTGTTTAATTACTCACCCAGTGTAACACATAATTTGTGATCAGGACTTGTGATCATCCTGCACGCCTCCACAGTGAACAAAGAATACAAAAACAGAAAAGTAAAAGAGCCATGTTTACCAGCAGCAAAACTATATCAAAATATTAATTTTTAAACTCGTACACAACTTGTGCAGTATAAACCAAGTCTCATTTATCCGGATGTTTGCTCAGTGCTTCCTATATGAATTGCAGTCGTGTAGCAGTAGGGTTCAAACGGATGTGCTTACCGAAGCACACTACTTGATTGTACTATTTATAACACTTCCACATAAAGTCACGCACAGTTTTAGGGAAAATGAATGTGTTTGTGAAGTACTGAGCATACAACTGTATGAATGAGACTTGGGTTATACTGCGGGAACTGTGTGAGAGTTTGTTAACGGATGTTGTATAGTTTGCTATTGTTGAATTTGCTCCCCTTGTACCCCATAAATCAAGAACTGTCAGTTTTTGAATTGTCTGTTCACCGTGGAGGCATGCGAGAAGTTTTCTACACAAATTTAATGTAACACAGGGTGAGTAATTGATACACAAATAATCATTTTGTGGGTGAAGTGTTCCTTTAAGGTTAAGCTAAAGTACAGTATGTAATTAGCTAATTCTTTGCCATAAAGGGAGTGTATTTCCTAAAATGTCTAAATATTTCTTGGGAGATTTTGAGGCTGAAAAATGTCATTTTTGCTTAATAAATGCATTTGTTCTCTGTGATTCCTCAGGTTTCCCACTCCAGTCGTGGGTGTTCACTAAAGGCCAGGGCAAAGGGGCCCTGACCCCGACTACTCCGTCTGATGGTCCCGAGAGCACGGCCATCGAGGTCGAGGACATCCCGGCCCTGCTGAGGGACGTGGCGCGCTTCGCAGAGGCTGTGGAGAAACTGAAGGATGTGGTGCTGGCTGAAGGTGAGCTCAAAGACAGATTAATTTAATTTGAGGCACAAATCAACACACAGAAACGCTGATCTGGTGTAAATATTTACCATCAAATTGATCGGGCTGCAGTGTGTGTTGTCAGCTGGAGCAGAAACGTGTGAGGACGTGCTGTGAGTTGGCTCTGTGATGATGTCACGGATCTAAAGACATGAATAATGCTTGTTTTCACCACCGAGGAGACAAAACATATTCTCTTTACGTGTGTGGCCACTTCTGATTTTCATCTCCTGACGCATTTCATTGTTTCTCTTCTGTGTTTGTACTGAAAGAAGAATACTGCTTGGCCTCTCCTCGTCCCCTTCACATGCTTCAGTTCGCTTTAACAAGGGCTTACATGAAGAGGATGCGGTATCCCCAAAAGGGTTTTCGTCAACCTTACATCAGTCCTCTTTACCGACACATGTGCATAGCGTTTGAGGGGGAGGGGAGAAGGGAACACGAGGGTGGAGCCACCTTGCACAAGTTAGCTAACAAGTGGCTGTGAGCGTCCTCTCTCCAAGTGAAGGGCTGCGTTTCCGCTGCGCCCACAGACTCGACCGCGCTCTTGTCTCCAGCAGGAAGCCTGCTTCTTGTTTACCGCTGCCTCAAACTCACACACTCTTCCCCTCCCGTGTGATGCAGCGAGGCTTAAAATGGCGAAACACCTGTAGTTTTCTCATGGAGTCAAACACCACCACGTCAGAGTCGATTCTGAAGCAAACTGAAAGTGTGAGCTGAGACGAGCAGGTGTGTTTTACGCTGAAGGTTTAGCCAGTTGTGTCAGAGCAGAGGTCTGTGGTTCAGATGAAACAAAGAGCTTTGTTTGTGTCTCTCTGTCGGCCGTTATCTGGCTCTGTTCTGTCTTGTTCTCCACCCAGAGAGTGCTTTCTAAACAGGAAGCCATGATGGATAGCCTCTGACAGAAGGGCCTCGTCCACACTTCCTCCTCTGATAGGCTGGCTGCATCGCCGCGACACGACGCCTCCTCTTCTTAATCAGTGGCACAATCAGAGATTCAGCCTCACCTCCTCCAAACTGCAATTCAGTGCTCCACTTAATCAGGAGCTCCTCGTGGCTGTTAGGTCCCACCTTACTTCCTGAACATCAACCCAACCGGTTTGAGAGTAAGGTGATTTGTTTTCATCAGCCACAGAAAGCAGATGTAGCTCAGCCCGAGGATTAGTTTCAAATCTTGCAAAACAATAGAGACCACATCCTCCGTGGCACAGTGCTCAGGTCACTCTGTTCTTATTGTCTGAGACACTCTGACACACATTTACAGACAGACGGTGGGAGGACGGAGGATCGGCTGCCCTCTGGCCTCCTCCCTGAACGAGCTGCCTCCATTAGAAGAAAAGTTTACAGAGGAGTATGAGGTTGCAACATTACACAGAGAAAAGTTAAATGAAACCAGTCCTCGTGTGTGTGCGTGTGTCAAGAGGATATGAGGATGCAGGCTGCAAATGTGTCACCAGTGACATCAAAGCAGAAGAGCTGACACTGGAGCTTGACCTGACCTGTCTGACACTCTGGACTTGTTTGCTCGTTATCACTGACCTTACTGTCTGTGCTCGGAGTGCCATCGCCCTGTTGTCTCTGTCCGCTCTGATCCTGTGTGGAGGCGGCAGAGACACACATTTTGGAAACAAGGCTTTTTGCTTTCTTTCTGAGAGTTAAGTGAGAAGATTGATACCACTCTCATATGTATATATGAAGGATAGAAACAGGGGGAAACAGCTCGCCTGGCTCTGTTTAAAGGCAACAAAATCTGCCGACAAATTCTCTAACTCACATTTTGTATCTGGTTTGTTTGAGTTGTACAAAGTGTGAAACATCAATTAGCAGTTATGTGCTGGACTATTTCTTGCGCAGACTCCAGGAAGTTACTGCAAAGAACTGCAATGTGTCACATTTACACTTCGGTTTTTGTACAAGTTAAACATGCAAGATAGAAAGTGTAAATTAGGGAGGTTTTGAGGTGCTGGTAAGTTGAGTTTGTTGAAGCAATCTTCACCCACAAAGCTCACAAATTAACACATTTTTTTTGTTTGAGTCAGCTGGCTGCCAGGCAAGAACGAGAAAAGGCACAGCTCCCAAAATGTTGAACTACTCCTTTAAGACAGAGAGGAATTGTTCTTTTATGTTTGGTCCAACAAGTTGTAAATGTGCAGAAGCCCATTTCCACCAACATAAAGATTATGTAAGTCGTTATAATGAGAAACTTTCTCAAAACAATGACCTTGTATCACAGTTAATCAGTCATGACTTCAAATTGTGACGTAACGAGAAACTTTTATCAAAATAATAATGGGCATCAGCCTGGAGGTGATCATGCCTTTGATTTTGTGAATATGTCCACAGCTAATCTCACAAACTACTGGACCAATCAGCCTCTTATTTTGTATGCACATGTTAGAGATGTGCCATATCATCTCATTCATGATAATACTGGTATGATTTCTAATATGATATGAAAAATTTATATTGTGATACTTGCGATATTTCGACTTGTTGACATATTGTCGTCATACTGTTACCCACGGCAACAACAAGCATAGCTGAAAGCAAAATTATTACCGACTCCTTGGTGGTTCCAAAAAGAGGAGCAGCTTCAGTAGTGTGGAATAAACTGTGGCGTCCTGAATGTTTTATGAACAGCCCCGGACTTCTCAGAGTCTTTAGCGAGTTACTGCTCAGAGGGAACTCATTCAGCGGCTCCTCCGGCTGCAGCACAGCATCTCTCCCTCTTCTCTCTCGTCAGTGTCGTCAAGTGGTTTTGTCATAAACCTTTGGTAATGTAAACCTACGTGAATAAACTCCATACATGTCAATGTGAATTGTTGTGGTATCATAACAGCCTGTCACAGGTTACAGCGTGATGATTAGAGGAGAAATGGCAGAGCATAAAGGTCCAGGTGGAAAAAAACAAAAAAACAACTCAAATCATTTAGGATTTTGCTAAAAGAAGGAAATTACCTGTTGATTCATATATATATAGATCCCAGGGGACATTTTTTGCATTTAGCTGTTTAAATGTGTGATTTGTGTTAGATTTTATTTTGTTGAACTTTTAATATTGTATACAGAATATGAATCTCACTTTGAGTTACTGTTGTTGTTCNATCCCAGGGGACATTTTTTGTATTTAATGTGTAATAAGTGGTGGATTTTATTTAGTTGAGCTATTAATATTGTGTACAGAATCTGAATCTCACTCACTGTTCACAAACTAAAGAAATAAGAGATTATTTTTGTTTAGTTTTTACTGAATATTTGAAGCAAACTGTAAAACTATATCACTTATTTTGTTGCGATTCTATATTCTTAAATTATTTTTTTTTCACTAATTTGTCATATCTTCAAGAATATCTTTATCGCAAAAATACCCTGAGATATCGTGATATTATTTTATGGCCATATCGCCCACCCTTAGCACATGTACGACTGTATGCTCAAGGACCTCCCGTTGATTCACAATGATGGTCTTTGACTGCTGACTCCTCATGCCTCCTAACCGGCCAGTAGAGCTGCAAGTTTTCCAGAAATTGGCTTGGCGAAAAACAACAAACCTAACTGGCTGTTATCTTCTCCATCATCTTGACTGTAAGGGAAACAATTCCACTGGTATTGTCCCGTCTGCTGCATGGCGTCACACCACACTGGAAGCCTTTCAGAAGTATTTTTGCCTGATTTTGTAGCAGATTTTGTTAATTTGGTCCTTTTTCCTTGATATTTGCCTACTTGTTTACTTATAGTAGAAGAAGAGTGACATGGTCTCTGTTTTGGGCGAGGCATATTTTACAGACAAAGGCAATAATGGTGTTTATTGTTGTGCTGTGGCCTTCAGTTAATACTGCCAAAGTCACTGACTGACATGGATCAAAGGTTTATGGCTGTGCTTTAGTGATTAAAAGTGCACTCATCCTCACAATTATATTGTATCTTCTGAAACATGCTGCGGCACGTCTGCTGGAAATACAAGAATTGTCTGAGTGGCCATCGTCAGCCTGGGCGGGTGTGTCACAGCCAGAGTGCAGCCAGTGTGCTTTACTAGTTTTAAGACATTTTCTAATTATTCTGAGGTCCTAAATTTAAGTCATTATTTCAATAAAGTTTCTTATTATGACTCAATGGATTCTTTTATTTTTCATGACTTTGCCAGCATGGACTGAACCCTACATTACTGATGCGTTCAAGGACACTCTGATATCTGAGAATCAAGAATGGATCCCTGTGTGCAACTTTATTATTTACAATGATAATTTAACTTTTATTAAAGGGTTTCCTGTATGAAAACAAGTCTCTGCAGTTTGGGGCGACCTCTAGCTCACAGGGTAGAGTATGCGCAACATACAGGCTGAGTCCTTGGCAGCGGCCCGGGTTTAATTCCATCCTGTGGCTTTTTGCAGTGTGTCATCCCCATTTTTCTGTCTCCCATATTTTCTGCCGCTCTACAGCTGTTCTATAAGGAAGGCAAAAAAAAAAAAAGTCTCTGCAATTCGGTTTAACTAGAAAAGAGTTTGCATCCATTTACCTCGTAGTTCATGGGATGAAACAACCAAAACCAGTGGGGTGGTTCTTTTGTATTACTGTTGTTGCTCCTCTCACAGGGTGCGTTCCCAATCACATACTGTTTCTTTTTAATTTTAGTATGTACTGCAGCTGCCCTTAAAAACTACATACTGTTGCATGCGGTATGCACGCAATTGGGATACACCACTTCCCCATAACATTACACCCTTAACTTTGACCCTCTTACTCATACATCCTCTACCATGGAGATAAAACAGAATGACGTTTCACTGAGCCAAGTAGAGACAGAGGTCAACCAGGACAGCTCTGATGTTGTTATTTTGCAATAAGTAATGACTGCATACATTGTAGATTCAAACACATTATATTCACAATAGTAGAAATACATTTGTCTGTCATTGTTATTTAACACTTAGTCCATGCCCTTTTGTTGTTGGTTATATTTATGATTATTTTATTCAATCTAACAATTAATATTTCCATTATTACTAAACTAGTCCATACCTATTGAGTGCACAGTTGGCCACGTACAGTTTCACATGGTGTGTGTTTGGGATACAGGTCATAGGAAATTGCAGATTAGATAGTCAACTGAACCCATTAAGAAGAGCAGTGTATTCAGACAGAGTTTTTGAAAAATGTGGGACAGACGGAATGACTGACTGACAGTTTCCATGATTATGTACAGCATACCATACCATGACTAGGTCATACCAAAAAGTAGAAAAAACATTGGTCCACAGGGGGAGCCACAGCGATCGGTCGCATTTTAGCCATTTTTAAGCATTTTTTTTGTTGTTATAGCGCCACCCAGTTGCCAATTAGTTAAATTTCTCCAGTCACCTTTAGGCGTCCTGTTCTACATATCTACCAAGTTTAGTAAAAATCCATATGCCGGTTAGGCCTAGATAAGAAATTAGCTCTCTAGCGCCCCCATTTTGTGTGATGGGGTCAATAATGGAGGGGTCCCCTCAGATTATGAGTGGTCATATGCCTACAAAGTTGCGTGTTGATCGGTGAAACCCTTGAGATGTTATACACCTCTATGTGATGAGCCACGCCCTCCGCAATATTCATTGCCTTATAGAAGCTCAGTTTTAGTAAGTTTTCCAACTTTTGCCAAGAGGGAACTTTAGATATTGGTCCCTAGATTATGTTCACCGAGTTTCATGCAGATCGGTCAAACTTCCGAGGAAGAGATCGATTTAAGTGTTTTTCAAAAAAATTCAAAATGGCGGAAAATCTATATAACCGGAAGTTATGGGTTCTTGAGGTAAATTTGTTCCTCATGAGGAGAGGCATCTCTGTGCAAAGTTTCATGTCTCTACGACATACGGGGCATGAGATATGCCCATTCAAAGTTTGCAATTTCAATCAGTTGCTATAGCGCCCCCCTTTGGCCAATTGATGTAATATTGCTTCATTGGCATCCTCCCATGACCCTCTACCACTGTGCCAAATTTCACATGGATTGACCAAATCAGTGAGGAGAAAAACGTGGAACAGACACACACACAGAGTTTTTGTCATTATATATTAAGATGAGTGGTCATCAGCCACCTGAATGCGCTGTCATCCATCATTGTGTCTTCTGACAGTGGATGTGACAAATCTTTCACTGTGCAGAGGATTGTGGGTCAGAATAGCCAGAAAAGCATCCGGGCATTTTTGGTATACTGTATTTGACACACTTAATCTGTCCCTGGCATACTTTATAGTGTGGCAGTGTGGGTATTGGAACGCGCAGATAGTCTGCCCTCTTCTTGTCCAATCTCATCCTCCTCCTTCCTCCTTCTCGTCCAGGTAAGAAGGAGGGTCAGCGGCCCATGGCTCATGAGTGTTTAGGCGAGGTCCTGCGGGTGCTGCGTCAGGTCATCAACACCTACCCTCTGCTTAACACTGTGGAGATCCTCACCGCTGCCGGCAAGCTCATATCCAAGGTCAAAGGTCAGTCTGATGAGCAGGGAAACCTTCAGCCATGCACACAAATTCAGTAAAAACAAATGTTTACTTGTTTTTAACTAGGTAGAAATTACCTGAACATCCTTTGGTGATACTGTATATATGGTGTGATGTGCAGGTGTGTGTGCTCAGTTTGTCAGCAGTGTATTTTAATCACAACTGAAACCTGAGCAGATACATGGTTGTGATTTTTACAGGTTTCCACTATGAGGCTTCTAACGAGGCAGATAAGAAGGACTTTGAGAAGGCGATTGAAACCATCGCTGTTGCTTTCAGCAGCAAGTGAGTACCTGATACACCTCTACAACATGTCTGATTATCACATTATAACCTTCTGATCCTAAAAATAACCCAGCAGTGATTACCACTCGTGTTTGGTTTATTTATTGTCCTTGCTACGAAGACTGACCCAGAACAATAGCGACCTGTAACAGCCTCTAATCGGGTATTACCTCTTTTACAGACAGAAGAATCAGGTAGTGTGTAATGCGTGTGTGTTAATGCGTACAAAGTCGACTATTGTTGGGAATCAGAGAGAGAAGTGCAGCGATGGTGACACATTTGCATGAGGCAGAGCTGAAAACAGGAAGTGGTTCTTTTCTTCTACCGTATGACACAAAACCAAAACTTGAAAAATGCTGTTGACTACCTGGCTGCTTAGTGAACAGATTGCAACAGATGGAGGAGACGACAAATCACGAGAACGTTCCCTTGAGTTGAGATACTTGAGACGAATGACACATTAAATATGTTCTTTAACGTGACTATAAAATCATCTCGTCTGTTTTTCCAAGATTTTTTTTTTTTTTACCTGTGTGTGTTTAATCTTTAAAAATAACATCATAATAAGTAGAAGTCTACACTAGAGAGGTTTGTCAGCTTTATGTGTAATCAGATTACATTTCACCAGCAGTTTATCACATGTTAGCCTGTGCCATTTCAGGGTTTAGACATCTGTCACAGAGCTGCAGGAGGAAGTGAGCTGGCAGAGACAGTTGAAATCTGCCTGACGTGTCTGTTTCCTCATTCTCTCCTCCCCTCTTCCTCTGTTTGACTCCTTTTCTGTCATGAACGAAAAAACACCAAGATGGAGACTTTTATGTTTAGTGTTTCAGCAGGCGAGTGAAACAAAATGAAAGACGTCAGGAGGGTTTTTTTCTTGATTGGATGAGGGATATGTGGAGAAATAAAATGAGTGCTTTGACGTACAGTATGAATGTTTTAGAGTGAGATCAGACCAGTTAGAGAAAAGTGACTCAATTTAAACTATTTGTCACTTCCTGTCTCCTGTTTGTTTGTACCTGTCGAGACTCGCTGCAAGGGCCTCTTCCTCTTTTTTTTCTGCATTTTTATATCCGCCATTTTTTTGCACACAGATTATTATTACTGCCTCGGGCTGCATAATATATCCTTTTTTTTTAATGCTATTGCGAAAGACTGCGATATTTCACTCAGGGTTTTTTTTTTTAGTGAGAAAACCACACTTCAAAATGTTGGTTTCTTTTTTTGTGCCTTTTGTGTTCAGTTTAATGTTCATTTTTTTCAATGAAACAATGTTGGAAATCATTTCTTTTCACTTCAAAATGCAAAACTTTTGCACACCTGAGGGTCGACAGGTACATAGGAGAAGACCACAGGACGATTATCATAAAAGAAAAACACCTGTAATATTAGGAAATATATTGGGAACAAGAACAACGTCTTGGAGAAGAAGATAACCTGACAGTCTATGCATCGAAACGTTCTTGCTTTCTATACATTTCCTTAAATTGCAAGTGTAGCAGACAGTGTGTGGAAGTTCTTAGTTCTACTTTTTTAATTCAACAAACTACTAGTTGTATTTCAGAAGTAGAAGCAGTAGAAGCAGAGTGTCTGCAGGTCCTTTTTAAAAGTCTTAAATTCAATTTTAGAAAGGCTTAAAAGTCGTAAAATAGTCTTAAACTTGAGTTTGTGAGGTCTAAACTGCTACAAACATTTTATCTTATTTCATTTTTACATTTCTTTTTGTGGCAATGAGTGAAGCTTTTTTTAATGTAAAGTTACAAATCTTTAAACTATAATACTGTCATTTTACTTCACACTTACACTCACCTCTGCACAAGACCACATATATACTCCTTACCTGCAATGCTTAAATAAGTAAAACATGATTTGCCCAAAAATCTGTCCTAAATTTGATGTAAAGGCATCTGAACGGCTCTAAAAAAAGCAGTAAGTCTAACTATCAGTTATGCCTATCTCAGGGTGTCTACAGGTACTTTTATTGTTCTTCAGGTATAGATATAATTCTGCCTCATAATGTAATTATATACAGTACAGGCCAAAAGTTTGGACACACCTTCTCATTCAATGCGTTTTCTTTATTTTCATGACTATTTACATTGTAGATTCTCACTGAAGGCATCAAAACTATGAATGAACACATGTGGAGTTATGTACTTAACAAAAAAAGGTGAAATAACTGAAAACATGTTTTATATTCTAGTTTCTTCAAAATAGCCACCCTTTGCTCTGATTACTGCTTTGCACACTCTTGGCATTCTCTCCATGAGCTTCAAGAGGTAGTCACCTGAAATGGTTTCCACTTCACAGGTGTGCCTTATCAGGGTTAATTAGTGGAATTTCTTGCTTTATCAATGGGGTTGGGACCATCAGTTGTGTTGTGCAGAAGTCAGGTTAATACACAGCCGACAGCCCTATTGGACAACTGTTAAAATTCATATTATGGCAAGAACCAATCAGCTAACTAAAGAAAAACGAGTGGCCATCATTACTTTAAGAAATGAAGGTCAGTCAGTCCGGAAAATTGCAAAAACTTTAAATGTGTCCCCAAGTGGAGTCGCAAAAACCATCAAGCGCTACAACGAAACTGGCACACATGAGGACCGACCCAGGAAAGGAAGACCAAGAGTCACCTCTGCTTCTGAGGATAAGTTCATCCGAGTCACCAGCCTCAGAAATCGCAAGTTAACAGCAGCTCAGATCAGAGACCAGATGAATGCCACACAGAGTTCTAGCAGCAGACCCATCTCTAGAACAACTGTTAAGAGGAGACTGCGCCAATCAGGCCTTCATGGTCAAATAGCTGCTAGGAAACCACTGCTAAGGAGAGGCAACAAGCAGAAGAGATTTGTTTGGGCCAAGAAACACAAGGAATGGACATTAGACCAGTGGAAATCTGTGCTTTGGTCTGATGAGTCCAAATTTGAGATCTTTGGTTCCAACCGCCGTGTCTTTGTGAGACGCAGAAAAGGTGAACGGATGGATTCCACATGCCTGGTTCCCACTGTGAAGCATGGAGGAGGAGGTGTGATGGTGTGGGGGTGTTTTGCTGGTGACACTGTTGGGGATTTATTCAAAATTGAAGGCACACTGAACCAGCATGGCTACCACAGCATCCTGCAGCGACATGCCATCCCATCCGGTTTGCGTTTAGTTGGACGATCATTTATTTTTCAACAGGACAATGACCCCAAACACACCTCCAGGCTGTGTAAGGGCTATTTGACCAAGAAGGAGAGTGATGGAGTGCTGCGGCAGATGACCTGGCCTCCACAGTCACCGGACCTGAACCCAATCGAGATGGTTTGGGGTGAGCTGGACCGCAGAGTGAAGGCAAAGGGGCCAACAAGTGCTAAACACCTCTGGGAACTCCTTCAAGACTGTTGGAAAACCATTTCAGGTGACTACCTCTTGAAGCTCATGGAGAGAATGCCAAGAGTGTGCAAAGCAGTAATCAGAGCAAAGGGTGGCTATTTTGAAGAAACTAGAATATAAAACATGTTTTCAGTTATTTCACCTTTTTTTGTTAAGTACATAACTCCACATGTGTTCATTCATAGTTTTGATGCCTTCAGTGAGAATCTACAATGTAAATAGTCATGAAAATAAAGAAAACACATTGAATGAGAAGGTGTGTCCAAACTTTTGGCCTGTACTGTATATATATCTACAGTGTATTTCTACTTCTGCTTTATTTGCTGTCATAAAGGTGTTTGTGTTGTGTTTCTCCTCAGTGTGTCTGAGCTGCTGATGGGAGAGGTGGACAGCAGCACATTGCTCTCACTGCTGCCCACTGAGAAGAGCAGGGTGAGTTTATCACACAACTAACAGTGTTTCCCATCTGACAATTAGAAAACAGTAGGGTTATCCACCACAGTACACACCTCCATGTGGTAAACGGTAAATGGACTGCAGTTGTATAGAGCCTTTCTAGTCTTCTGGCCACTCAAAGCGCTTTTACACTACGTCATATTCACCCATTCACACACTGGTGGCTGAGGCTACCATACATGGTGCCACCTGCTGCTCAGTAACCATTCACACGCTCTCACACACTGATGGAACAGCCATCAGGAGCAATGTGGGGTCCAGTATCTTGCTCGAGGAACCACCACTTGAGTTTAAGTGCTTGTTTTTTAAAAACACATCAGTATCTAAAAGTTCATTTTCTTTTTAATATCAAGACATTGTTGTATTGTTGCTACCATGGATTTACAGAACCTAATGACTCTGATTTGACCATTCACAGCAAAAAAAAAACTGCATCTACCACGAGCACGGACAAGTTTGTTTAAAATGTTTATCTGAAATTTAACAAATATCACTTACCTCAACGTGCTAAAAACTTAATTAATCTTTCTTCATTTTAAAAATCTCAAATATGGACTTAAGATATGGTCATATGTGCTCTGCTAGTGAGGAATAATTACCTTAATCTGCCGTAAAACAAACAGAGCACCAACACTCACAGATACATTTACTTATTTAATGTTCATTCATTCATTTTTTCGTAACTGCTTATCCTGGTAGGGGTCACGGGGGGCTGGAGCCTATCCCAGCTGACATTGGGCGAGAGGCAGGGTACACCCTGGACAGGTCACCAGACTATCACAGGGCTGACACATAGAGACAGACAACCATTCACACTCACATTCACACCTACGGACAATTTAGAGTCACCAATTAACCTGCATGTCTTTGGACTGTGGGAGGAAGCTGGAGTACCTGGAGAAAACCCACACTGACACTAGGAGAACAACTCCGCTCAGATGGGCTCCTAAAATTTACTTAATTAATGTTGGCAAAACTAACGAAATACTAATGAACATGTTCCAGCAACAAAGCCGTCATCAGCGTGATGAAGGCTTTGTTGCTGGAACACATTAATTTTTGACGACTTGTGGAGTTGAGTTTTTATTATCATTGCCAAGTTTAAGTGTTCAAAAACTACAGCAAGCACTTTGACCTTGACTGATAGATTGTTTTTTAATAATGTGATGAACACAGCGTACGGCCTGTCGCATTTTAGACGATAAAGAATCCAAATCATTCAACTGCAAAAATCAGATTTTTAGAAAACGTTTGATTGTCTTTTTAATGTGTCGGTTTTATTTGTATGTGTAGCTGCGACAGAGAGAGTAATTTGTTGTCTTATTTTAGTGGTGACATTACTGTGTCCTGTAGTGTTTTACAGCCAATCAAAGTGCTGCACAAAGAAGACAAAGACTAACTGACTATAGGTTTTTTAAGAAAAGATGGTGACCTGCCGACTTCAGAGTAGAGCTGGGCGATATGGAGAAGATCGTTATTAGCTGGTATCTAGCTTCTAGCAGTCCGGACCACTCTGCAGAAGGAAAGATGGCGAGGCATTCGCGTGCCATTCACAACAATGGCTTCATTGCAGTCTTCACCACATAGCAACAAACGTGGCCTTCTCATGAGGTTGAACCGTAGCCCTGAGCTTATCTCCACATTTAACTCTACTGTTATCATCACTCTTTGCCACCAGCCATCTTCACCATGACACTTCGAGACAGCTGCTTCCCTCCATACACACAATGAAGTACATGTCACACACTCACAGGTTACCCACAAGGCCACCGCCCTTAAAGCCAGTAACACTGGTCTGGCATACGATATCAATAAAATAAAGATATATTGCCCAGACCTGCTTCAAAGGGATACTTCAAAGTATCCGTAATGGAAGCCTTCATAGATATGTGGTGGGGTCAGCAGCACAGTATTTGTCTCTCAAATGTAGTGGAGTAAAAGTCAGACTGATTTCCACTCCCAACTTTACACTGGATGAAGAAGAAAAAATTCTGTTGATTTACAACGAGCCTTGGTGTGTGTTTGTCACTAATGAATCATCTCTGTGCTGTGCAGTCGATGGAGAACTTGTACGCTGCGACAGGCCAGGGAGCGGACGGGGGACAGTTCAGGAGCGACCTCCAGGACATGGGTAGGACAATCTGCCGCTCCTCCACTGACACTCTGACATCTCTCTGTCCCTCATGGCTGCTGTCTGTGATGCTTCTGCACCTCTGTCCTTCCACTCACACTCATTTTATCTTGTGAAAATGCTTCTTTGTCATGATATTTTCATATGTTTGTGTACTCTGTCATCCATTTACGTTTGACAGTAGCGATCCAACCTTTATTCAGATCATGAAAGGTATTACATGTTGTTCACACACTGGATGTCTGGTATGGCTCCCCCTGCTGATGTAAATACTGTAGTACATCTATGTGCTTCAGAGCTTCATAAAACTCAGTCTATCACAGAAAAGCAAAGAAAAAAGTATTAAAAACTACAGAATCAGCCACTCTGAGTGAAACACAGCAGTGGCACAGTCATCACCAGCATAAAACACAGGATGTTGGAGATCGTCACTTCAGCTCTGAGTCTTCACACCTCGGCTGCAGACTTTTTTGCTATACACAAATCATAATAAGCAACAAAACACTTTGCGTCGTCACAGCAACGAAGTGTGCTTGTTCCTGCGCAGTGACCTATGTTTGTGTGTTGATGCGTAGGCAGAGCTGAGGAAGTGGATGTGATCCTGCAGCACAGCGAGGGAGGGGTGGACTCCGCTCTGCTCTATGCCAAAACCATTTCCAAGTACATGAAGGACCTGATGAGCTACGTGGAGAAGAGGACTTCACTGGGTGAGTGGGAGGGACAAAGGTTTAGTCTGTCTGTGGATTTATCGTACTGTTATTTTCATGGACAATAAATCTGTAGATTTTGAATAATCGATTAGTTGTTTTGTTACAAAATGTCAGAAAATGGTTAAAAAATTGTCTCCTAAAACCAAAGATGACGTCCTAAAATGTTCTGTTTTGTCCACAATCCAATATATTCAGTTTGTTGTCAGACGAGTAAAGAAACCAGAAAATATTCACTGGAATCAAAGACTTTTTTTGTCATAAAAAAATCACTCAAACCAATTAATTGATTGTCAAATTAGTTGTCAGTTAATTTAATAGTTGTCAACTAATCGATTAATTATTGTAGCTCTTTAAAAAAAAAAGTTTATCAACATGAAATTGATGTGGGTTTTTTTTCAATTATTTATTTATTTTTAATAGTATTTTTTAATATTTTACAAACACCACCGAAAATAATAAATGATAATAATTTTTAAAAAATGAAATAATATAATTAAATAAAAAAGTTTCCAGTTATAAAATGTCAGATGATATCCTCAAAGACCTTAACAGTCAGATGTGATCATGTGTTTTCGCAGTAAAAATGAGACTTGTTCAGCTTCTAAGATGTCAAGTTTTGCTTTCTGAACTCTTTCATATCATTGTAAATTTGATGAGTTTGAATGACGTGACTGTAGCAGAAAAAATATATGACACAAGTTTGGTTTTTAGCAAGTTGTGATTGGTGTGATTTTGTCATTGTATAAGCTAATTAATAAATTGTGAATAGATGTAGATTAATCAGTGATTTAAGATCAGTAGCTGCAGCTCCTGATTTAAATAAACCCCTGCAGAAACACATTGTTCTCTTTCCCTCTGTCTGACCAGAAACTGAGTTCGCCAAAGGCCTCCAGAGATTATACCAGTCCTGCAAGCACAGCATAACACATGTAAGCCTCATTCATTTTACCTCTGAATATCTCCCACTGGTCATCTGTGATACTGAATGTTAAACTGTAGGATGAAGTTAAAGCAATATTGCATTTTGTCCCTGTTTGTGTTTGATACTGAACCCTCTCTTTCCATGTGTGTGTTCGCTCCCTCCAGCCCCAAATGCCGCTCTTCTCCATCTACTCTCTGGCTCTGGAGCAGGACCAGGAGCAGAGCGTGGGGCTGCAGCAGGCCAGCAACACGCTGCACAGCCAGACCTTCATCCAGGTAAACTTCACTCAGGTCTGTTGTGCAGTGAACACTTTATAACTTCTGTGAGGTGTTTCTTGAGTCACCCTGCGACGGTCACTCATGCTGCTGTTATTAGTGGAGTGTTTTACCTTGTTGTGTGCACATTGTGTTGATCTGTGCAGCCTCTGATGCAGCGTAAACAGGAGCACGAAAAGAGACGGAAGGAAATCAAGGAACACTGGATTCGAGCGAAGAGAAAACTGGTAAGATCTGTTGTGTATGTGTGAGCATGTTAGCAGGAGTTGTTGTATTTATCTCTAAGAAGTTAAGGAACAAATTTGTCTTTGTTTAGATGGAGTGTGAGGCGAACCTGCGGAAAGCCAAGCAGGCCTACATGGTTCGCTGCGAGGAGTACGAAAAGGCCAAAACAGCAGCCAGCCGAGCCGAGGAAGAGGGAGGAGGGTCGACTGCAAAGTCTGTGGAGAAGAAGAAACGAATAGAGGAGGAGGCTCGCAACAAGGTTCTTATCAACAACTTCACTCTATGGCTGCATCTGTTGTTTCAGAGCTTCAGCACCATGAATTTAAAATACAATTTGTATGTTGTTGACTCAGGGTGACGTATAATTTGACACTCTTCATTTTATCTGTGTTCTAATCTGATAGATTAAAACAGAACACAGGATGTAAATTTAAAGAGTTTGCATGTGTGTGTGTGTGTTTGTGTGTGTGCAGTCAGACGAGGCGGAGGCCACCTACCGGACATGTATAGCAGATGCCACCACTCAACAGCTGGAGCTGGAGCACACAAAGGTCACAGTGCTGAGACAACTGCAGGACGTCATCAAACAGAGCGACCAGACCCTGCGCTCGGTCAGAACACACACACACAAACCTCACTGTTACAAAATAGCTTCCTTTCTAAATGTGCCATACTCTATACTCTAATCTGAACTCTTTCCCTTCCTCTTCCCTCCACCAGGCGACCATCTCGTACTACCAGCTCATGCACATGCAGACGGTAGCGTTGCCGGTTCACTACCAGACTCTGTGTGAGAGCAGTAAGCTGTACGATCCGGGCCAGCAGTACGCCGCCCACGTCCGAGACCTGCAGCTGCCAGAGCAGCCGAATGTACAATATACATTTGAGAACTACTGTCCCTCCAGCTCATCGTCACAGTAAGAGCCACAATTATCCTTAAACCTAAAAGAAAACGTTCGACATTTTTTAAGAAATATTCTTACTCACTTTCATGCTGAGAGTTAGATGAGAAGATTGATGTCACTCTCACTAGGGGTGGGAATTGATCCACGATACAATATTATCACAGTCATCATGATACAGGATTATTGTGGTTTTAAATATGTTGCAATATGTTGAGTGTTGGGATCAGATATATTGTGATATATCACCCTTTTTCATGTGTAGATTATGTCCTCAAATCAAAACTTTGTCACAATCTGTCACTGTCTGTTCATCTCACTTCAGCCATTTTTTCACAGCAGCAACCTAAAGTTTAATTTGTATTTGTGATATTAATCATTTGTATAATAAAAAAAAATCAATGCTTGGCACTGCGTGACGATACGATATTGCCTCACAAAAGTATCGCGATACTATGCTGTATTGCTATTCCCCCACCCTCACTCCTAACATTTGTGCAGTAAATGTGAAGCTGCTGCTGGTTAGCTTAGCTTAGCACAAGGACTGGAAACAGGGAAATGGCTAGCCTAGCTCCGCCCAAAGCTAACTAAATCTTCGGCATGTAATGGCGCGTTCGTTTTGTACTCGGAGGTCGGAAGTGGGAATGACGTAACCTCCGAGTTGACAACAGCTTTTGCATTCTAGTTGATAACGGTGGACAAGTCGGAAAAAAACATAAACGCCCACAAGAAAGCCTTTGTTGCCCTTGCACTTTTGGAGTATAGACAGCTTCAAAACCATCATGCACTCCAACTGATGATGCCGCAGATGCGGATAAAAGACAGAAGCCATTTTGTGCATGTATAGGTCCTGTTTGTGCATGTGTGTGTATTTCAGACCTGTGTGTTAATGACAACGGAGTAAAGTATATAAATTTTTTTCCATCAGCCTGTTTAGATGTGCATCTAGAAGTATCGCATCAGAAAATTATGATGGAAACGCCAAAATTTGAATTAAAATCCCCTGATTCGCACAAACTAAAATCCGCTCACTTTAGCCGGGTTTTGTTTGAGTCAAAAAATGTTGATTCGCAAAACGGGGGATGGAAACAGTTATGTTCAAATTAAGTCTGACGTAGCGCACCTCTCTCCATGGTGATATCCATACTCCAGGTCGGGAAGGCGGTAATGCATTTACCAACCACCAGAAAACGTAGAAGAAGAAGAATGCGAGACTTGTTTTGTGTCCGGTTCTGAAGAAAACTCGCGCAAGTTCGTAGTTTTCACCAAAGTCCGTACATTTAATGGAAACACACAGGATTCGTATTTCTTTTAATGCCCATTTCCCAATGATTCGAATCACTTTTGGATGGAAACATAGCTAGAGAAGGTAGCAATAAACAAATAAGATAAAATTGCTATAAACAGTATTTTAGCAGAGTGTTTACTCTATGGTTTACTCACTATGTATGTGACCGGCAGCCATCTTGAATTCATAAGTTGGGGTTGATGTGGTTGCTCTGAGTTTCCGAGTTGGAAATCTGATCTCAGGGCTGCGTGGGTCCGAGTACAAAACGAACGCACCATAACCCCCATAAAACCACAACCTGTTTTTTAACCCACACCATGATCTTTTCCTGACCCTAACCAAGTGTTTTTTGTGCCTAAACCTAATCAGACCTTAATCACAGGGCATCATGATGATTTCGGAACGGACTTCGGAACAATGAGTTTAATATGGTCGGAACAATGGGATGTCGAACCAATGGGCAGTTCCCAATCTGGAGATGGAAGCACTGAGGAAAATGCTAATTTAGCATTTAGCTAGTTTTAAAGTTTTGATTTAAGGTCAGGGATAAGGCGAGGGTAAGGGTTACGTGTGGTTACTTTTAGGGTGAATCACATCTTCCTTTACAGTGACTAAAGTAAATGAATAAAGTGGATTACTGCCAGGTTGGTCTCATATTTATTCACTACAATAAAGTTGTAGCAGCATTCAAACAACCGCCGCATAGGTGAGTTTGTCTTGTACTGATGGTGGGCGCGGTTTGTCCAGCATTTCACTTTTACTGTCCAGAGTGGAATTAAACTTCTCATGTAACTCTCAGTAAGACAGCTAATAAGTGTGTTTCTCCAATTTCTGATAAAAAAAATAATTTATCTAAATAATTCCACGTTGCAGCCATGGCCACAGACCAAGGAATGACAGCTTCAACACGGAGCCAACGAGCCACACAGACAGTCCTGCCACCAGTGTGGACACAGCAGCCGCAGAACACAGAGAGGCAGAGGCTCAGCGTAAGAGTAAGTGACGCCTGCCTCTGTAAGCGAGCTGTAGTTTCATAAAGATGAACGTTATTATGGAGACAGCCAGCCTGTTTTTATCCAAGTTTAGTTGCTCTTTCATTCTGTATTTTAAAAATAAATAACAGTTGACAACATGACTCTGTGTAAACTCATTGTTCTGACATGGATCATTCACATATTCTTGTCTCTTTGTTACCCACAGGGCAGGGCCACAAGTCGTGGGGTTCAACAGTGAGCGACGACAGTGTCGGAGGAGAGGGAGGCCTCGAGTCTCCTACTGCCAGCACAAGTGAGTGACAGGTTGACAGAAACATACACAAAAGTATCTCATTTACCATAAGAGAGAATTTCAGTGTGTGTGTGTTCATGCTTAATTCAGTTCCTCAAACACTTCTTTCTTCCTCCCAGCATGTGTGAGAGTCTCTGTGTGTGAGAGATAATACTTAAACTGTGTATTTATTCCAGGTGACATCAGCAAAATGGCTCGGACGTCATCCACTGGAACAATGTCGTCCAATGAGGATGCAGATGAGAAAGACGGGAATGTGAACTCATTTGAAACGCCAAGTAAGAGTTACAGATCGTAATCACTGACCAGACTGAGAGGAAAACAAAAATACACTTCTGTCAATGTCGGCTGTGAGTTTGGTACAAGTTTCCTGGAGTGTGTGTGACGTGTGTTTGTGTCTCCAGACATGAACGGCATGGATCCTGATGTGGTGGTATCCACGCGACCTTTCCGTAACATCGGCCTGTCTAAAGCAGCGAGGACCCACCGACTGAGGAAGCTACGGACTCCTGCAAAGTGCCGCGAGTGCGACAGCTACGTTTACTTTCAGGGGGCCGAGTGCGAAGAGGTGAGGCCTTCATCTTGTCTTCCTAACAGCCAGAGTGCAGAGAGAGACTCAGAATACGAATATGCAGCTTTTATAGCATCTCATCATGGGGTCAACACCTTCCTCTCTGTCCTCAGTGCTTTCTGCCATGTCACAAGCGCTGTCTGGAGACTCTGGCCATCCAGTGCGGCCACAAGAAGCTGCAGGGCCGCCTGCAGCTGTTCGGGAGGGACTTCTCTCAGGTAGCCAGCTGCGCCAGTGACGGCATCCCCTTCATCATCACCAAGTGTATCTCCGAGATAGAGAGACGGGCGCTCAAGATGAAGGTGAGAAAGTGACTGTGTGGTAATGTGAGTGCTGGATGTGTGAGTTTTTGCCGCAGAGGTGTTTAAACTGTTTGTTTCCTCCTCACAGGGCATATACAGAGTGAACGGAGTGAAGACTCGTGTGGAGAAGCTGTGTCAGGCCTTTGAGAACGGCAAGGAGCTGGTGGAGCTGTCGCAGTGTTCGCCGCATGACATCAGCAAAGTCCTCAAGCTTTACCTCAGACAGGTACGCACAGAGCACATGAAAATCTCATACCGTTGGAACCCTAGTGTGTTTTAAGAATCCTTCTGTTAGTTATCTGATTAAATATAATTTCACAAAATAAGAATTGCCCTGTAGTCATTGCTCCTGTGCTGCCTAATTCAGCTCTTCTAACACCTCTTGCTGTATCCGTCACCGACAGCTGCCAGAGCCCATCATGCCGTTCCGCCTGTACAACAGTCTGATGGGTTTGGCGAAGGAGAGTCTGCAGAGCGAAGCAGAGACACCAGAGGGAGAGGAGGCTGAGTCCACCCCAGCAGCGGGTAAGGGGCTGGTGGATCTGGGCCCTGACACCGAACCCGAGGTCCTGGTCCTGGTGGAGAAGCTGAAGGAGGTTCTGAAGGAGCTGCCCAAGGCTAACATCGCTACACTGCGCTACATTATTCGCCACCTCCGGAGGTCAGTAATTTAATAAAAAAGAAAAGGGGGAGGAATGTAAAAGACCAGGCTCTTTTATATATTCTTAATTTTTCCCACTGTCTCCCTCCCTGCAGGATTGCAGAGTTAGAGGACGACAACAAGATGAGTCCCAGTAACTTGGGTATTGTGTTCGGTCCCTCCCTGATGCGTCCTCGTCCGACCGGAGCCACGATATCCTTGTCCTCTCTGGTTGATTACCCTCACCAAGCCCGCATCGTGGAGGCCCTCATAGTCTTCTATTCATCTATCTTCCAGTCCAAAACCTCTCAGTCCCACAAAACCATTGGCTCTGCTTCCTCGTCCACTCAGCAGGTACGAGTCCCCATTTGACTGTTTCAAATTTAATCCTCATTTTTTTTCTTTTTTCAGCAGGCTATCTTATTTATTTATTTTTTCTTAAAGGTTCACATTGGAAGATGATTCATATTTAAGTAACAGGACTGAGTTTTTAGAACGCATTAGCAAATAAATGAAAAGTAGCCACGTGACATCAGTGCTAATGAGAACACTGAGCACCTTTAAGTGGTTTACTGTCTTTGGAAAAAAAATCTATGAAGTAATTAAGGTAACAGAACTGTATCTTGACATGGACATGCTTGAGTCATACTTAGAATATGATTAAAAATACGAAAAGTTAAGTTTGAGAACTAGGGCCAGTTGCACAGAACACCTTCGGTTAAGATTCTCCTTAAAGTCCACAATGTTAAGGCTTTCTTAAAATACAATCAGTTGCACAAAACAGGTCTTTTCTTCAGGGGTCCTTAAAATGTCCACTTAAGTATTTAAGGTTTTCTCTTTATCTTGGTATCATACTGAAGGAATCCCTTAAAAATGGTTAAACCATTGCACAAAAGACCTTAGGTGTCACAAGCTTGAGCACAAGCAAACAAATGGTTACCATGGAAACTGTAGTATTTTACCACTGTAATATCTTACAAGCAACTGAGGAGGGAGAGATGCAGGACAGACGATAATGACAGTAGCTTACAACAACATTAATGAAAGTAATAATATTATAGTTATAGTTCTGGCTACTGTGGTACAATATGTTGAAAGTAAATAGTAATATCTGACAGTATACATGTGTGACAATAATCATATGTGTATAATAACAGTAGAAGTATGACTAATGATAACAGCAGCAGCAGGAGGCATCTGGCAGGACCACGGCAGCAGCACAACCACACACGTCACGCTGTCCAGGCACCGCTGCGATATGAGTTAATCTGAGAGACAGTGGAGCACAAAGGCTCCGGAGAAGAAGCCGAGTTAGTGACATGCAGTACGGCCGAGTTAGCAAGATGCAGTAACAGGACATGAGAGAGAGAAGGAGAGAAGGTGCCCTGTGTATTATAGGAGGTCCCCCAGCAGACTAGGCCTAAGTCAGCCTAACTAGGGGCTGGTACAAGCCGAGCCTGAGCCGGCCCTAACTATAAGCTTTGTGGAAGGTTTTCCACAGAAGATTACTCTGTTTCGTTACACACAACAAAATTCAAAGACCTATTCAAAACTTTCAAGGACTTCACTAATTCTATGACTTTCCAAGGCCTGGAAAACGACATTGTGAAATTCCATGACCTCCACATTTTCCATGTGGTTAGGAACCCTGCTTATGGTCCTGTAGATTTTGGACGCCACAGCCAAATATTTGCATTTCACCATATCACCAGTTAAACTGAACCGGTTACGGTGTGAGGGCACCGTGTGATGTCACTATCTCTTCTGGTGTGACATCACACGGTGCCCTGTGGTTTGATTTGTGTGCATTAGTTGAAACTCCATTAAGCTTCAGCTGTAGTTCATTTCTAGTGCTTATTAGCAAACGTTAGCATGCTAACAAGCCAAACTAAGATGGTGGCCATAAAAAAACAATTAAACCTGCTCAACATAAGCTTGTTATTGTGAACATACTGGTGTTAGCATATAGCTCATTGCACCACCGTGCCTAAGTACAGCCTCACACAGCTGCTAGCATGGCTATTAACTTTTAATCTAGTTACAAATACATACTTACAACCACTAATTAAACGTCTTATTAAGGTGTGTGGGTTGGCTCGTTAATGAAGTCTTAAATTTAAAGACTTCCTGTTTGTTTTATGAGAAGTTGAAGAAAACTGTGACCCTTGGGAGTCCTCATTCAGCAAAATGTCAGTTCACCACAAAGAAATTCAACTTAAACAAATGAAACATGGTCTCATAGAAGAGCTGCCATTAGTTTACAAGCATAAACAAAATCTGATGAATCTCATCCTGATAAAGGCAAGAGCCTCTAAACAACAACCTCTAAAGTGTCAGCACATCATCTGCTCATCCAGACTTATGACCTGCAGTCTCACGTCATTTGACTACAGCTCTTGCCTCCTGCTTTGCATGTTTTGATATGTTGTCTGTGATAAAAAACAAGTTGCAACAACACTGTCACATAGTTTTTCTTGATAACAATCTCTTCCCCCCCCCCCCCCCCCCGGTGCAGGGTACTATTGCGGATGAGAAGACTGGGAGCTCCGCTGATGGAGAGGATGATGGAGGCAGAGAGGAGCCAAACAAACCAGACTCTGACAAGATGGAGGAGGGATGTGGTGAGTTTTTATAAAGCCGAGGTTGTATAGTAGGTTGTATAGTACTTCCTTTTTTTAAGAGCGTTAATCACTCATGTTCCTGTAACTCCCAGTAGCTTTATGGGATTTAAAATCACAGTAACAGGAATACAGATATCACCTGACTTGATTTGACCTTAAAGGGACAGTTCGCCACAAAATCAAAACTATATATTTTCCCTCCTACCTGTAGTGCTATTTTTCAATTTGATTTTTGTGTGAGTTGCCAAGTGTTGGAGATATCGTCTGTAGAGATGTCTGCCTTCTCTTGAATATAATGGAACTAGATGACACTCAGCTTGTGGTCCTCAAAGCACCAAAAAATTCCAGAAATCATGACCCAGTTACTCAAGATAATCCACAGACCTTGTTGTGAGCAGTTTTATGTAGGAACTATTTTCTTTCAACAGATGTAAGGGTGCTCACCCAGCACCACTGAGGTAGCTAAAGTTAGAGCTCAGTCAAGGACGAACCTCTCGTCTATGAGTAGATGCACTCCTCCTTCTGCGTGGTGATCCAGTTGGAAAGTATAGTTAGGAGAAAGAAAATAGTTCCTACATGTATCAAATTGACATGAACACTGACGGCATCTGTAAGAGGGCAAACCAACACTTATTCTTTTTAAGGAAGCTGAGGAGCATCGATATTAATAGGACAATCATGAAACTGTTCTATTCTGCTTTTATCGAGTCCGTTCGTTCTTTTAACGTTGTCTGTTGGTTTGGTGGCGGCATGGTGGTTAGCACTGTCACCTCACAGCAAGAGGGCTCATGGTTCTCTGTTACTTTAAATAACATCCAGCATCTGTATGAAGTGAAGGTCACCTCTTAAGCTTTGTCTATTGTCTCAGACTCTCAACATCCCCTTTGTTGAGTTTCAGATGCTTCCATCAGGGCGGAGGTTTTGCCTCCCTAACTGTTGCACGAAGCATTACAGATCATCCTTTGTCCCGCCTGTTATCCCTTATCTTACCCAGCAGTGACCCTTAATGTCCATGATTTACCCTTGACAGTGTGTGATACTCCTTACCTTACCTTACCTTACCTTACCTCACCTCACCGCTCACAACAAGGTCTGTGGATTATCTTGAGTGTCCGGGTCATGAGTTCTAGAAAGACACATTGCTGTTGAGTTTCTCAAATGTATTTTTTGCTACTCTGAGCACCACAAGCTGAGTGCCATCTAGTTATTTTATACCTGAGAGAAGGCAGACATCTCTACGGCCCGATATCTCCAACACTTGGCAACTTAGACCAAAGCAATCTGGATTCATAAACCGTATTCTTGATTTTGGTGCGGACTGTACCTTTGTTTAACTGCACCCAGCTGTGTTTTTTTTACCCCTGTATAACCACTGGCCTCTTTATCCCCATTTAGAAAGTTCTTTAGGGTCGCTTGGGTCCAGCGAGCAGCTCCCCGACTCCGACTCCGAGCCGGACGAGAGCGGTCAGAGGACTGCACACACCCTCAGCCTGGTGAAGCAGGAGAGCGAGGTGAGCATGGATGACGACCAGCTGAGCTACAGGGACAGCCTGGACCTGTCCAGCCAGTCTGCAGTCCAAACCGACCCGGAACAAGACGCAGATCCGGACCACCACGACGACCCCAGTGGAGCAGAGCCCCCCGCGCTGCCAGACAGCGGGCCCCCAGATGACGACACAGGGGCGGAGCAGGATCTGAGTGCCTCTCTGGCTGAGCTGAATGTGAACCAGTCCAACAACAACTACCCGTGCTCCCCCATGTTGAGCTTGTCGGGTCTCCCACTGGCGCGTCTGTGTGGGAAGAAGTTGCCCCTGACTAGAAACAGGGACAGTGAGCCAGAGTTTGTCTGATGTCATTATCAAAAATCATTGTGTGTGTTGAGTGACAGAATGATTGATCTGGTTTTTATTCATTAAAATCCAGTACAACCTGCACCTGAGAGGGCCATTATATTATGTACATCAAGATTCAAGTTTTTAATGTATTTAGATGTTTACAGCTGTATCAATCTATCTGAACGTCTGCACGCTTTCTGCTGTGTGATGCAGTTACTGCTGTCATTTCAAGAGGTTTTTGACTCAAATGTAATATGCGTCAGTTTGTATTTTAAACTGTTTATCTGGTTGCTCTTTCAAGCTTGAGGGAAAGTGGGTAGCGAGTCACATCTGAACGGACTGTGCAGAATTTTAAAGCAAATCCCCTTCAGTGCTGCTGGTTTTATTTCAGCACTAACATTTAAAAAAATAAATTTAGCAGTCTCTTATAAATGTTGCCTGTATTGCACTGTTGTGGATGTTTCATCTGTTTTAATAAACATTTTATTTTAATATTGTTCAGGTTCTGTTATTCCATCTACAGCCTTGTTTTAACATCATATTTGTGTATGTTACAGGTCGTAAGTGTAAAGGCAAATTGAGGAAGAGTAAACTAAAAGGTGAGCAGGAACAGAATGAATGTAAACACCATCACTGACGATCATTCAGGGCAAATGTATTCACTTCCCTGGTGTTGGGGAGGGCACTAGAGGAACAGTTCACTACAGTGGGTGGTGGTTTTATAGCTGCGACATTTCCAGTAGCTTTTGTCTCCAGCAGCTTCAGCATGCCTTTCAAAAGGAAAAAGAAGGTAGGCTTCTAAAACCATTACAGCACGAAGTAGATAGAATTACCAGTTGTGTCCTGCTTTAAATTTAAAACCTCTAGTTGCTTTTTAAATGTACACAAAGGGTGAAACTATGCGACTAAATCATCTTGAGGAAACAATGACTTCTTTTTGAATAGTTTATTTTACAAAATCAGTAAATACAAGAAAACTAATTTAAACACAAGTCAGAAGCAAAAGAATAATCCATAGATGATTGATGAGAGATGGAACGTTGTCTGTGTCATTCACAGGTCCTCCTACATGTTGATCCAGAAGTGTATCTGGAAAATAAAACATAGAAAGTACGTTTTATTAAAGTGTTTCTCGACTGCTAAGATACACTTAATGAACTGGGATCCACTTGATCTTCATCATCACCATTTTACAACACCATAAAGCCTTATTTATGGCAGGGTGCTCGACACATTTTTATAAATATTGTTTGATAGAAATTAAACATTTGTGCATAATGCTTCTACAAAAGGTTTTAAGTTGTCTCCATGGCAACCATAGACGCCTGAGTCTATTTCTATCATGTTTAGTAAAGTGTAATCTGCACAGACAGCTGTTTAAATCACACAAATATCTCACTGTAGGCCTGTATGTGTTGTTTACTTTAACCATATCTATGGTACATGAATTGATCAATTCTCAGTCTGTGTGTGAGCAGCAGATTTCCCTGACTAACCACAGGGGGCTGGGAAATGTTAAGTCTTCTCTTGCAAATGTGTTAACACTTTTTCATTGGGTTCATGCATTTTTAACACCTTCTTTTAAAAACAGTTAACCCAGAAAGCATCTACCACAACTCTTCAATCAACAATCAGCTCTTATCTATCTGTAACAGATGCCGCCTCTGTGCTGCCATTTGCAAGCATGGATCAAAGAAGCCAAAGGCATGTAAAATTAAATAGTGAATGCAAAAACAGTGAGAAAACTATCTTAAAAAAAGTTTTATTTTTAAGTATCTCAACAGGGAATCTCAAGAACATGTAGGTGCAGAGTGCAGTAGTGCTTCTGTTAATCTTCAGTCAAATCATCTGCACATACAGCAACTCAAGCTTTGATATGCTTGCTCACTTTTTTTTTGGCAAATACTGTAACTGTAAAGTACAAACAAATCGCACATGCATGTAGCACAAACTGAGGGTGAACCTGTTCATGTTGATAGCTATTAGTTTAGAAATACTGGCTTTTGCTGCATTTTGAAAACAAAACAAAAAATGCTGTAAATCCCAGGTCAGTCCCGACTTCAACCAAAGTCACAGGAAATAACTGTTAGAACATTTAGCTATTAATGTTTTACCCTGTGCATAAGTATCTATGCACTTTATATCACAGGCTAAATTTTATCAGCGTGACTGTCTCATCCTTTCATAAAAAACACTGCAAAGTTGGCGATACCACACTCACCTGTGTGTCACTGCACCAGTCTGTATGTGATGTACCTCCCGGCTGTTTCACTGGGTCTGATGATCTTTACAACCTGAAGTTGTAGTCAGAAAAGCAGAATTTCAGACCGGACAGGAATTACTGGAATGACTGAGTACTTTGAATACAAGTGTGTTTGTATTTGAATACTGGTCGAGGTTCATTCAAATTACAGCTGCTATCACGTTACATGGAATTTCATGGGGTTGAAGCTAAACACTGTTCATCTGTACACACGGTTACATGATGGGTTGAGGGTTTACACAGGAGATCAGTTAAATTGCCTTTATTCGGGTCTGCGCAAGGTTTGGGGCAGGGAAGATTTCTGATTGGATAGGGGACGGGGCGGATGTTACATGTTAACGTTTACCGGAAGAAAACACTGTAGTCCTCACTCCGGATAACAAGATGCTTGATGACGCCGTTCTCTACATTCTCTAGAATGCACTCTACATTCAGTGAATGTAGAGTCTGTAGGCAAACCCCGGAGATCTTGCCTCCGGAAGAAGAGCGGAAGAGCCCTGGTTTCCGGTTGTAGGCTGTTTGTAGTCCGCGTGATATTGACCAATCACGTTTGAGTCGGCTGCAGTTGTTGCCAGGTTAAACACTCCGTGCGGTGAACTAACGAGGCGGAACATAATTGGCGTCACTGCAAACTCTGAATCCATCGCAGTGGTTCAGCATATTTACTTATATATAAACGGAAGTCGGAAACGGAAATTCGCCTCCTCCGCCCAAATCAAACCGGAATGCCAAAAAATCGGGGGTCTGCCCCCAGAGGCTGTATTCGCCATCTGCCGGAAGTCAGACGCCGAATACAGCTGATGGGTTCCGAGAATGTCCCTTACATAATCAATGTATGTTTAAAATGTTTAGTTAAGTCAAAAGTCTAGTATATTACAGTTTTTGGTCACTGTTCCTACCTGTAGTGCTAAAATAGTTTAAACACATAACATTGCTACAAGTCCTAATAAGACCCAAATCATAATGAAATGGACTTATCTTTTGAATGTCTTTAAAACATCATGTCTTGTAAGATAATGGGTCTGAAACTTTGTTTGAGCGATCACACTCCTTTACTGAAAAGCAGCTTATCAGAGGATTAACCCAAGATCAAAAGCACAGCACCATGCACCCTTGTATTAGTAACAATCTTATGCATTATCATCATTAGATGTGTTACCTGTCCTCTTTTCAAGCCAAAGTAGCGAGCCACAGGGTCCCCGGCCTGGATCCTAGGCAGCTGACTTTCCTTCAATTTACTGAGATAAAAATGTTAAGTGAGGATAACAAATATATTTTCATGAAAAGCTGAGCCTCAAAAAGACACCAAATACAGCTCGATGGTGGTCTTCAGCTAATTCAACTGCTATTTTATACTTAACTATAAACAGTGAATCGTCTGAAGATGACCAAGTGCATTTTTCAGCAGGCACGTCTCATTTAAACATTTTAAAATTCAGTTACTTTAATATTTCAATGTGTTTAAGGATACTATCTTGCCAGAAGTTCAGTCACTTCCTCTTTTGTCATGACAATGTGCTCTGGAACAAGCTGGAAGAAAGACAGAAAAAATGCATCAAAAACAAAAATGGAATTCTACATCTGAGGCACTGTCTGTAAGATCATTTTAAAAACGTAGTGTCGATTGGATTTAATACAGTAGACTTATGAGTCTGTTGTTTACCTCGTGCTCTGTGATGTTAATAAGCAGCTCCTGTTGTAGAAACTGTTCCAATATGTATTTGGGTGCCATGTCGACGAGAGACTGTAAAGAGACATTTCATTAAGTGTGTATACCAAGAGAGCAAGATCCAAAACATGAAGTTAATTAACAGGATAATCACAGAATCATTGCAGGAAACTTTCAGAAATCACATACTTCATCTTTTTCATACACAATTTGTGCTGGTTTGTTAAATATGATATAGATGTTTACCTGTTTGGCCGACGGTGTCATGCCCATCTGAACAACAATGATGGCTCGTGTGATGTTCTCCTCCTGCATCCTCTGACAGTACATCTTAATCGTCTTGATTCCCACCTTGGGCTCCTCTGACAAGTGAAAATTAACATCCACGTGTCATAGGCATAGCCATAAATCAAATGCTCACCATTTAAGATAATATATGGGACACATCTTAAGTCCTAGGACAGTGCGTGTATCTCTATAAAGGCATGCTGGCCACCTAGTGTCCAATAACAGGTGTACACCTACCAGGAAAGAAAACAAACATCTGGTCGGTCGGGTCATCGTTGTGCGCCACCAGCACAGTGAGGTCTGTGCGTCTGGGGCGACCCTCGCTGGGCTTGTCTCCAAACTGACTCTTGAATTCGTCCAGTGTCTGGTCCAACTCGTCCTGTGTCACCAGGTAGCCTCTATCATGGCACAGCTGAGAATTTAAAGATGATATTATTAAGTCAGTGAATGTACAGGACAAACTATAATCTTTAAAAGCAAACTCAAAGAGACGAGATCTGTCGGGCACCTCTCGACTTCCAGCCTGTAAACCATCTCTAACAACAATTACAAGGCAGTGTGTGGATTTACTTTATCTGTCTTTAAGATTGAAATTAGGTCTTTATTTAGGGTTTAAAATCTCCTAGTGTATGGCAACTGTATAGGTTTGCAGACTGAAAAGCTCAACTGACATTAACTTGTCCTGCAAATTATGGTGGGTGGATGGTGGGTAAGAATGTTCTCCATTCAAGTGAAGACTTTGGAGTTCTTAAGATCAAGAGAATAACTGCTCTGTTATGGAAAAAAATATGCAAATGCTCTCTGGGAGCTTAAGTTTGAAGACGACTGAAACCTACCTGACCTTTAGAGAGCGTATATAGAGACATATATACATTGTTAGAGGTAAAACAAAACAATTTATAACAATATTGAATAATTTTTTTGTCTTTTTTGTACCTTTATTTCTCGTTGATTACATGGTTTATGTAACTACCTATTTCTATGTCAGCTTTTAGCTCTTTAGAGTGTTTTCTATTCGTGTATGTATCTGGCTTTTACTATCATTTTTCACTGATCAAAACATTGTTTAAAAAGAACTTCTGCTTCTGCAAAGGAAGTGGCACTTCCCCAGGATCAGCTGCTGTTGAATTACCCTGACAAAATCAGCTAGAAGCAAACTGCTTGCCAATAAACTGCCCTACACTGATGGCAGAATCAACATTACAATGTGTGTCCAACATTACAGAGCGGAACCTGCCGGTTAAGCTAAGCTACATGCTAAGCTAGCAAGCTAAAAA